TATATATATATATATATATATACATTTCAGTAAAAGATAAGGTATTATCTGATGATATTTTGTATCTTACAGACATATATCAGAATATTTTGCGAAGAATTGGCATGCAATGATAAAATTGTAAAATATCTCCTTTTCCAAGCAATAGATTCCAGAGCGGCCCAACAGCAATAATAGAAAATGGGATAAGTTTGATTCTTATATACAGCATGTTGGATCAAAAATCGATCCTTATCAATTGCTTAATATAAAATTAATATAAAAGACTTCGCTTATCCAATTTTGCACGGAAGGATCATTCTAAAATCGATCTAATTTTCAAAAGGATGCGATGGAGAATAATTAATGAATGGGGGGTGAGAGAGCATCCTCTATCCGGAAAGAACATACGTTTAACAATCTACCGCGCGCCGTTGCTAATTCACTGGAAGTGAATCGGAAGCTGGATGGCGAATCGGAAGGGACGCTGAGGACGTCTTATAGGTGTGCCAGTCAGCACGTATTTCTATAATTATTGGGGTGGCTCGAAGAGACAACCTTTAACGGCTGTCTCAAATACTACCCCTGTGAGTCTGAGGAGACTTAATGCGTTTTTCCAATCCGACCGTTATACGTGTGCCATTGCTATCGATTAAACAATATCGATGTTGCGTCAGCCCGAAGCATTGGAAGGGATTCAAGCAATTCAATAAAATGATTCGATCGTCTGACAAAATTTCCCTCGAATTGGGGAGATTTTTATTTCATATTAAATTCAAATACGGTCTCAAATACTTTAAGATAGAAGCGTCGTACAATTTAGGATTGAACGAAATAAAGATTGAAATCGTTCAGTAATTTATGTAATAATATTTTTTTATTTGATATGCTAGAAATGAAATAAAAAATGAAATAAAATAGCTATTAAGAAATTTTATTTGTTAATAAATAGAAAATACTAGATTTTTTATAAAATTAAAACATTCTTAATAGAACAATTTAAAACCGAAAAATCATTTTAGCGCACGACTACATACGTAATATATAAATTCACATAAGAATCATACATTTAAGATCTAGCTAAATTTAAGGCTTTGCGCTCGCACGGAATACAAGAGATCTGGATTCGATTCCCGGCCGAGGTAATATTTTTCGCAATAAGAATTAATTATTTACAGATTTTAATATGTCATTCAACTTTATTAAGATCATTCAATTTTATTAAGATCGTTTCAAAGATGCGAATGAGCATCAAAAATTTATTAAATTCTAGTCAATTTAACTCGTGATATTATTGTTGTAGTTTAGTAGAGTTAACGTTTCAAGATCAAAAAATCATTTTTTTTTTTTCGATCTTGCGCGTTTCTGGAGACTACATACGTAGTATATAAATTCACACAAGAATCATACATTTACAAGCATTTAACATCCAGCTAAACTGTTTAAGGCTTTGATTTCTATAGTTTATGTTATCATATACGATCCTATAAAACAATTTAAATCTTACAATTAGTAAAATCTATACAGCTCTTATCTTTTGATATTATCACGATTATAACGTGTTAATCCACAAAATCCGAAAGGTTAAACCGCGAAAACCGTTTATTATCGTGCTTAATAGGCGATGTTGTAAACCACGAAAATGTAATACCTCATTTGTAATGCCATACACGCTGATATGTATGCACCAAACTGCGACAAATTTCAGATTACACTGCAATTTTGATGTAACAGTGTGGTAATTCAGTTATTATCACAGGTAACGTGCTTGATCGATCAACAATTGACGATGCAATCGATCGAATGGAATATTTATTGCGACACGGACTGACAATATTTAACGTTTGCGCGGACGAAATGTTACACATTGTGTTTGTGCTGGAAGCATTATAACAATGGGTCGAACCGATCGTTCACGCATTACATGCCTATGCAGTCACGGAAGTTATTGTTAAATTCGAAATATTTTCTATGACAGACTGACAGCTAAACTGAAATGGATGTTGCTTTTTAAACTGACTCGGACAGCAGTATCAGGAATTAATGACGGCCGACATAATTGATCAAATAAATGGATAGTTGGATACCGATTAACCAAGAGTCGATTAATCGCGCTATCGACTAATTGCCATCATCTGATGAATTGAGGGAGACTAGATTCGATCGCTCTTCTCCTGCCACTCTATTTCGATTACAAAACATATCTCTCGAAAATATCTAATCATCTAATGTAATAGTATAACAGTATAAAATAAATAGTATAAAGTATATCTATGATTAAAATTGAATCTATGACAAGAAAATTCTATCAAATTTTTTAAATATAGGATGTTAAAAATTTTCTGAAAGGACGTAACTTTATTTAAACGCAACTGTTGCAACTGTAATATGATAATATTTTCCTAAATGAAAGTGCAATTACATCAATAATCGCATCAATTATTCAGATAAGCAAATCGATGGTCGGTACTCGAGCGGATAGAATCTAATTGAGCATTTACTTTGCTTGTAGATCTCCTGGATACGTAAGAGAGATTTGCATATCCTGACGTCATCGATCCTCGCTTACACGGGGGACGCAAGATTTTCCGTTAAGCATCCCGAATCATCCGACGAATGGACGCTGAGGATCGAATATATTCAACCACGAGACGCTGGGATTTATGAATGCCAGGTTAACACCGAGCCCAAAATGAATTTAGCCTTCATGTTAAAAGTCGAAGGTAAAATCAAGGTCGTAAAGCCTTTAGAATTTCATTCAGATAACCCTTTTATGGATCGCTTAATTCAGAAAAAGTATACACTTTCCAAACAAGTTTCATTACGAGACAAGAGAAGACAAAGAGAGAGAGATAGAAAGAGATAGAGAGAAAAGAAAAAGGAACAATTTATATTAAAATTATATTTAAATATATAATATACTAAACATAGATTTGTAAATTTTTAATTTTTCTAACGTTATGTAGTGTTCATAATATATTATATACATTATACCTTATAAATCTGAATAGATATTTTATTATAACTCATTTTACTACATTGCATTAAATTCATAACTTTTAAATTAGCTTTTATTTATTTTAATTAATATAAGCGAAAAACTGTGAAAGGGTTAAGCTAGATCCCGTAATAACTTTATACTGTTGTAAATATATTTTACATAATTTTACGATAGGTGAAAGAATATCTGAACGCTTTCATAAGTGTCTATCACCTGATTGATCAGGAATGACACTGCTGGATAACTCGAATACGCACCAGCATGACCAAAGTGATTAATGCTTCCGCTTGCATGTCTGTCACGTGAGGAACATCCTAAAGTATCGATTAGCTTTGTTGCATCTATTTCTCTGATCGAGTGATGGCATAATATTACAGTTACTTTAATTATTACCAGCGCACAGTATCGATTTCGTCTTTCAATACGTAAAGCACCTACATACATGTATGTATATAATAGCTTAATACAAAATTAATAAAATATTTCGACAATTAGAATTTATCTGACAAAAGAATTCGACACGTTTTCTGGAAACGAAATAAATTACAGGTTCCAATATAAATATTAATATCTACAGGATATTCAAAAAATGTTGAAAAATAATAACATGTAATTTTATTTGCTCATCAATTAATTCGGTTTGATAATTCATTTATTGCTTAAATCCAAGAGATTTTAAATAGGAATTTATTGGATCGTTATAGTTTGATTTCGTATTGCAATAGGTTAAATAATTTTAAAAAGTATTAAATTAAAAAATCTCAATAATCTTAATTTATATGCATAAAAACGAAGGAAATAAAAAAAATAGAACTAACTTTGAGAAATATTTTTTGATAGAACCAACATTGAGAAATATTCTTTGATATTTTACAGGCATACGTGATCCATATTATACTGATAGTGCTTTCAACATTAGTTCAATTCCTAACCCCCGAAGCAATAGGTATTGACGAAATCGATTAACTCGATATCTTTTCTGTCCTCCCATTCCAGAAAGTGCCCCTGTCCCTGCCATCACCACACCAAACGCCATTCACCGGACGTTCAACTCAGGTTAGACTCACGCAGAGAGCAGATTCCTTTTCCAAGCTATTGAATGCTAACTTGCTACAGTGCTAGCTGCTAGAAGTATTATTCGCAATTTAGTTACGTGCAGTAACAATGCATAAACGTTTTTTGTATATTTATGACCAAGCCACTGACGGTTTCCGTTCACCAATGAGTTGAGGTCGTAGCATGAGGAAGGTAAAATACATGCAGCACTCTGCTCTTCATTTAGGCGTTGTTACGTTCGGAACTGTCGGACAAATTTTTTTTGCACAGATACAGCTGACACTAACGCGTGCTAATTCTCTGCTGTAATATTGCGAGTCGTAAATATACTATGCGTTAAATGTTCAGTGGAACCACGCGCCGAAACCTTTTTTGAAACGTCGAAAACCTAATGCAAGCATAATGAGAATATCTCCCAAGCAATATTTGTACGGCCTCGACTTATTTAGCTTGTAGACTTGTAGAGTCTACTATGGGGCTATTAGTGATAGTTTATTGGCACGAAATTTTTATACCCCTATAAATTAGAAAATGTTCGACTATCTCTTCAGATTAGTCTTTTGTGATTTTGCATGGTTTTCTTTGCATGTTTTTATGTGTATTCTAAATCCTTTTAACTGCAGCAATGATTTGAATAATAAGTAAGTACTGAATTATTAACATAAAAATATATTTTCTTGTCATGCGAAAATTATCGTTAATAATAACAAATTCTAATGTATTATATATTATTATTTTTATTCCTTTTTTTCTTTGTATATTCTAGATTATTATCTTGCTGATTTGAATTTAATCTACAAACATTTTTACATAATAATCTATTTCAATTTCAATTTATTATTGTACAAAAGTCACTGAGAGATTCGTTTATTTGATCATTTATAAATTATGTCATAAGGTTGGAATCATCAAATAATTATTAAAATTAAATTTATTAAAATTATTATTAAAATTAAATTTAAAGTCGTCGACTGTAATTAAAAATTTCGAAACAAGAAGTTCAACTACAAAAATGCGTTGCTTATATTGATTTATTTAATTTATCGGCAATATTTTTAAACTTGTAAAATGGATAAATTTTATATCTTGAATAGATTCATTAATATTAAATAAATAATATTAATTAATATTTAACTGATATCTAACTAATAAACTACCGGAAGGTTTCATCTAAATGAGATGTAATATTCTAATCGAATTGATGTCAATGCAATTATGTTGTTTCTGTTATGATATTTGTGGATAACACAAAACGTATCAATTATGTTAATTGCAAATATGTGTTTATTACGTCCGCACTTGATTTTGAAAAGACAAATATAATGCAAATCTTTTCTTTGATGATAATATAAAACTGGTAATATTTTAAGATATACAATAATATTGCATTATAAAAATTTATAACAATTTCATGTAGAAATATAACACATGGAAGAGGGTTTTAATAATAAGCCATCTGTATTAATGTTTAATGGCCATATTAATAATATTAGTTTCAAATCTATTATGATTGTTTAATTGCTTAAAATTTCATATGAATAAAAGACGCCTCGCTTGTGTAAAATTTTAGGCCATGCAAAGCAAATTTAATTAAAAGCACGATTTGATGTTTCCATACCGATCGTAACCTGTCACTTAGCACAGATAGATACGGAATATTTAAGCGTACGGTTTTTAACGTATGTTACAGCTGCTCAGGCGACGATTCTGGGACCGGAAGATGTCTACGTGAAGAAGGGTAGCACGATAAGCCTCACGTGCGAAGTGAATGTGCGAAGTACACCTCCTAGTAGCGTTACTTGGTATCAAGGAGGAGCCGTGCTAGATTTTGATAGTCCCAGGTATAAATTGCAAGAATCGAGTTTTCAGCTTTACTTTTCTCAATCAGCAGACAATATTTTTAAAATGTTTTTTTAAATATTTATTTTTCATTAATTATACATTGTACGTTTTATTGTAAAAATAATATTTATTAAACGTTTAAGTATTCATTTTATTCATTTACTTGAAATAATAATAGACCAAATATTATTTAACATATTTATTAGAAAAATATTTGTTTCACAATAACTATTCATTTGAAATAATAATTTAGAAAAAATATTTATTTAACGCTTATTTAATATTTATATTATATTAATTATTCAATTAAAATAATAATTTGAAAGCATTTTTTAAATATTTATAATATTTAATATTATTTTGATATTTATTTTACATTAATTATTCAAGCAATATACGACATCATCGCTAAATGAATACTATGATTCGTAAATAAAAACTACATAGCGTAGAATAAAAAGCGCAACAATATAAGATTTCTCACTCATGTATATTCTAATGAAATGGTACTGAAAACTATCGCCTTTAAGCCCCCAAAATTGGGCTTTAGATGAAAATAAATAAAGTATTTTGATAGTTTGATATTTTGCTGACAACGATTGTTTAATCTTTCTTTTTATTTCCAAAACTTGTTCTTTATTCAAACGTTAAAAACAAATGTTTTTTTAAACTTTAAAATAAAATATTTTTTAAACGTTAAAGAAATAGTTTCTTCAAATGTTAAAATAAACGTTTTTTTTATTTGAAAAAAGGAATTTAATCTATTATTTTTAAAAATATTTTTCAAATATTTTAAAAAACATTTCTAAAAACATTGTATGTTGATTGAGTCTTGCATCCCCCCCTTTCATGATTCTTTTTTCCTTCATATACATATGCATACATTTATACATAAACGTTTCCATTCGATCGCAAATGTTACTGCTATCATCGCATAACCGGTGGAGATCTCGATGATGTAAAAGTTCCTTCGTCTCGCTAAATGAGTAGGAAGGCTTCGGTTGAGTTTTTCGGGTCGCTACTTTGCAGTAGCGCCGATCGGGCGGAAAGTGTAGGAGTATCCTGCCTTTAATCTTTTCGTCAGCCCGTCAATTCGGGGAAGAATCGTCAAGAGTCGAAAAAGTAAATGACCCTTGATCCGGCAATTTTGTCAGGAATTAGTTCAGATAACGCTTCGTACGAAGAAATGTAAAAGTAGTTCCTTTTCTACTTTTTTTTTCTAGCAAAATGTATCACTTACAATGTCAAAGAATAATATAATATTACATGTTAAAAATGTTACATTTTTGCAATTGTTTTTAGCATACACTGTAAAAAAATTAATTATATGTAAAATTACAAAATTATAGTGGACAATTTTGAATTATTAAAAGTATATTTTTATATGTAAAGTAAAATCACAATAAATAAATACATTTATTTTTCTTTATAATAATTAAACAATTTGCAAAAGTAAATTATAGTTAAAGTTAAATTTATAAAATTTTATTTACATATTAACTTGAGAACAAGTTACAGTTACAATTTTTCTTATGTTAAATTATTGATATATGAACATAAAGATGGAAATATATGTAATGTATATTTATATATATTACATACATTATTATTATGTTATATAATAGAAACTATAAAATTTACTATTAATATTATGTATAATTTTTTCTTTTATATAGAAATATATTTATATACAATTAAAAATAAAAATATTAATTTTTGTAAAAATGCGAAATTTGAAATATTTCTATTATAATACCGTACATAATTTTTACATAACATAATTTTACATATCTTTTTACAGTGTATCGTACGTTCATGTTTATGAATTATATCTGATGCGAATAAACTTTTTATGTACACATTTATTTGTGCACATTTATCAACGGACATTTGACAACGTGCGATATGAACAAATTTGCAATACCATTTATGTTCCATACACGATTGAACTTTTTGCCGATGTTTCCGTACTGCGACCCTTTCCCTGCAAAGAGAATTAATGACAAAGTAGCAATGTGTATGACGAGAATGGCGCCAAAGTATCTACGATAATTCAGTGTACATCGCAGGGGCGGCATTTCCCTGGAGACGGAGAAAACGGATACCGGAACGACAAGCAGACTACTGGTGACACAAGCCAGATTGACCGACAGCGGAAATTACACCTGCGTCCCTAGCAACGCGAATCCAGCGAGCGTAATGGTCCACGTGCTGAATGGTAAGCGAATTTCTATTTTCTTCTTTTTATGACATGAACTTATCCGGCAGCCCATCATCCCTCGCCTCACGCGACATACCCGGTAATCAGGACATTCGGATACTCAAAGCTGTCTTAATGACATATCGCGATGGAAACGTCTGAATATTCGCGGTTGAAATTTTCAGATAACCCACTGGCACTGGATATCTCCATAGGTATATTAACCATTATCTGCTATCTAAGTCCTACGACGCGATAATTTGTTAAATTTTCAACCAATCAGAAATTACGTAACGAATTTTCATTATTACAACCACAAATGTGACAAATATAATACTTATTTACTTTTGGATGTGATTTTATCTTATCAAATATATTTCCTAATCATTGCTTTCGTAAAAGCAACAAAACAATATGATACGAATTACGTTGCGTTGACACTTGTACGAGAAACTGTAAAACATTTAAATTGGGAGTTTATTGCTTTACATATCAACTAATTTCTATTTCGCAAACACACGGATATGTCGCATACAAGCCAGACTCACTCGATAAACAAAGTCAGAAGTAAGTTCTTGACAGTTTACGCGTTCCAATGTATATAATGTAATTCGCTTATAAACTAACCTAATAACGAGAATACCAAACTGCAATATTTTATCCGTCGTATTACCTTAATATTATTGAACAGGTTGGCAATATCTCCTTTATTGCCGCAGAGCATTGTGAAATTATTACTGGGTAGACTCGAGAGTGGAATTAATGACTTTTTTATTTATTTGCATAAATTACACAGCATTTCTTGTGCTATGTAACTCGATATACCGTCTCTACTCGATATAGTTGGATTTTTCTCTTCTTCATACTTCCTTTTCTCTTTTCTTTACGTCGAGGAAGCACGCGCGAGTTGAGTCGGGTTGCTGCGTCATATGCACGCTCTTCGATAAACGTCGCGTGCATATACACATTCAAGAACTATTGCATGCGGAAAAATCTCCAAGTACCGGCGTATAAACATTTCCATGTCGGCATTCTTGTAATACCACATTTTCATGTCCACAACGTCACGCAATTCGATCAAAGTTCACGGTTAACCGTTTGTTTTCGATTAGAACGCAATCGGATTTACATGATATTCATTTTGGAGAAAAAATTCTCAATGTCTTTTTTTCTCCAGTTTCCAAACAAGCTTATTCGATCAAATACACAATTACATATTAACTTGCGTATTTTACTATATCCAATATTTTGATTTTATCTCGGATTTTATCGTGAAATATAAATAACAACATTGAAATGTATACATGAATGCAAAAAGTATTACTAGAGGAAATTTTTATTTAAAAAAGTCTTGAATGTAAAAAATAAATATTAAGGGGAGCCTAAAAATCTATAGTATAAATCTATAATATAAATATGCCGATTAATTATAATATATAAAGGACTTACACACAAATGATTTACGTGCCACTGACACATCACTACAAACTACTGCATAAATATCTCTTACACACATATACATATAAATTTTTATATAACAATGATGTTTTATTAGATCTATAGTCTCATTGTGAGTTCAATTCTAAGAATTCCACATTGCTTCTTCGTGCAAATTAATAGTCTGTAGACTATTATTTTGTAAATATAGACTGCATAGCTTTTATATGAAGCAAATGTCACGCGATGTGCTCTAAAACATCATATTAGACTAAGAAATAATTTACTAAGATCTCAATTTTATACAATAAATATATTCCGTCTTAATATAAACAAAAAACTTCGCATATTCCTTATCTTTGAAGATAAATTCTTGATTGTAAAATATAAATAAATAGGTACTCTTTATGCGTTCGGATAATTTATATTATATTATTTTCATTTGTTTCTAAATATTTCTAGAAGATAATATATTTTAATTGTTACACACATTTCCGCAGGTAAAATAATTTTTAGAAATATACAGTTCACTTTATACTTTGTTAATAAATTCTTAAATATTGTTTACTTTTTGTTTAAATATTAAGATTCTTTTTTAAATATTTTAATCTTTCCTTTCTGTCATCTCAAGTATTTCATTATTGTAGACAGTTTTGCTTGTATTAACTTTAATGTATTCTTGTAGTGTAGTAGTAGAATTTAGAAATTCAAAATATCATCCTTTTCATTATCGTACGATCCTTCCGAGGAAATTTGTTCAACAGGGACAGCTTTCGAGAATAGCAAAATTTTCCAGGAAAATTGTGTTCGTACGACAAATTTCACATCAATAAACGCTTGCATATTCACAACGCAAGTTCGGCGACAGGAAGCCAGGGGGTTCCTGAAGTGTGACATTCGAAAGGGACGGGCACGCGTTCATTCATCAAGTATCGAAATCCCCCGTCATAAAGTTTGACAGGCTCGTATATTGGAGTCGTAGCAAGTACTCGGCGCCATGCCGCACGCATACTCTCGCTTTTGATCTATTGTCAGCCGGTAGCGCTCGCGATAACACATGTAATATCTTGTTCGGCAAGTTCACCAATCCAACCTGTCAATCATCACGAGCTCGCAGCCCCGGCACGCGTTTCGGGAAACTCGTACTGCAGCTGCAACCGTTTGAAATCAACATCTTTTGCGCTTCCTTTGTTGTAATCAAAATCGACATTTATAAATTGATTTCAATAAAATTAGCAATGAGACCTTTCAATAAAGAATAAAGTATATGAACATGACAAACGAAATAGTCAAATTAATTTCCAAATTTACGTAATGACATTTTTTATACGATTTAGAATTGATTATTTTTACATTTTTTAATTCAATATTTAAAATATTTTATTTTTCAGTAAAAATTTCAGCAAAATTTTACCTTGACAGATTTTTAATTTTTAATACTTGATTACAAAAACGTTTAAAAAATTTTGAAAAAGTATGTGTTACTTCATAATACCATGATTACCAAAACGATTATGATTTACGATCTAAAAATTTATGATGAAAAATTACAATCGTTTTAGTCGATTATATAGTCGATTATTATTCGAAAGACACTACATCATCATCACTTTATTTGTATGTCGTGATCTACTCAATATTCAGTGAAAAAAACCTGCATCGATATTTTGCAACTTTCGTTTCGCTTCATTTCGACATCGATGCTACACGCGTCGTGCCAACAACGCAATAAATTTACAATACGCTAGCCTCCCTTCAATCCCTGATTAAATTAATGTTTTTGAATTCATAGCATTCCACGTCGGCAAGCTACAAAAATCAACAAAACCTTCGGACAACCAGGCAACAAACCGCTTGCCGTGTATACCGTGCGCGTTTGCACGGCAATCGAATTTCAGAACTTAACAAGCTTTCTTCGACGGTTTCCACGGTTTCCACGGTTTCCACGCAGCTGTTCGCCCCGCATGGCCGTAGCGCGCTTTCCACCCTTCGAACCATCGAGACATCGATCGCACCCACTTTCGTCCGGAAACGCCCGGCGAACGCGCGCTCCGCTCGCAGAGCGGCCGCTTCCGGTGCCGGATGAAAATTAATGCGGCACAGTTCGTCTGCATAATTAATTTATAGGGCGCACCCGGTCGCCGCGGTCGACACATTGGCCATCGACGTTATTTCAAACACAGCTGATTACTCTGCAAAATTGACCGCAAATTTCAATTATTTCTCGATAAACCTGTATGCGACCCGGGGGCTATCCATTTTGGCACGTACTATCTGCGCATTAACGCAATTACGTACGTCGGCCATGCTTGCCCGTCGATATTTCGAGTGTCGAGCCGCGCCGGTATCATTTTTTGATAACGGACCATGTAAACGCGGAATGGTAAACTCCGCTCGATGAGATTTTCAATTTGATCATAAATTGCGACCTTACCGAAGGGACTGGTTACCGAGTCGCGGAACCGTCGTTATGCTATACACTGCCACCGGACCTGTGATTATCTTTATTGCCGCCGAATGTTACACGCGACACGATACCGCGCCGTCGCACACAGAACGCGAAATTGTTGTTTCCTCGCTTGAACGTGGTGCTCGCCGTAGCTGCTGTTATTACCGAACAAAACGATATTTCACTCGCGGTTCGTATCACGACACGCATTTTACCCTTTGCTAGAGCGCCTTATACGTACACGTTAAACGCGTTATTCCTTTCTGTCATGACGTGAAACTTTATGGTAACATGTGAAAATTGTACAGACGATTTTATAAATCTATCGCGAACATATTGTGAGACTATGTGCAAAAGATGACGTTACTAAAAAAAATATGGGAAAACGTATTTCAATTTGTACTGAAAATCAACAGTTTAAAAATTGCTCGAGAAAACGACATTTGTAAACAAATACATCAAAGTAATGCTGTTAGTAAGAGATTTTACAACTAGAAATAATAAATAAGAAAAGAACATATAGGTAATGTGATCACAAATTATTGTCATTGAATATTGAAAATAAATATTTATGCATATTATATTGTTATATATGTGTATTATTACATAAAATTCATAATTTTTATTTTCCTTTAAAATATATCTTAAGTTGGATTACAATGATATATTTCTCTTATCACTGTATATTATAATATGTAATTTTTTAGAAATTTTTAGAATTTGATATAAATTTGATTTATAAAAATTAAAAATATCTATTTCTTAAATTGAAGGTATAAGTTTTTCTTTTTTTTTTTATTATGATTTGTATTGTTATTGTATTATGTATTATTTATAATTTATAATCGTATATCAATGTGTAATTTTTTTACTTTTAAATAGAAGATATTTAATATAAAGCATTTTATTGTCTCGATTGTTTCTCCTTTATATAGGAACCAATTACCAGAGCGAGAGAAAGAAAAAGAGAGAGAGAGAGAGAGAGAGAGAGAGAGAGAGAGAGAGAGAGAGAGAGAGATTGTCGTTAGGCTGGAAAGTTCCTGCTTAGCGTTTAACGCATTACAAACGATTAACCTAGATCGTGAATCTAATTAGGGGGTTGCACAATTAAATTCCTGCGTTATGTAGCTACTCGAGATAATATTCAATGCGAAGAAACTGACGTGATTTATAGATAACTATAAAATGCAATAGAATTTGCTTCAACTTCTGCGAATAATTTTCTATACATTACTTCTAACAACTATCAAATTGTATAATAATCTTACTAATTTTACTAATCGCAGAAAGATGAATATTAGAAATTACGTAAAGATATTTAAGATTGAAGATACGAGATAAAAAAAAGTTTGAATCTGTTATTTTTTCAAATAATTTTGCCTTATTATTTTGACATATATAAATAAATATATATATATAAATAAAAAAGAATAAAATTATGCACTTATCGTGCATAATCGAAAAAGTATTCTTATTGTTAGTCCATTATTGAAAGAATTTAATATATTTAGCAAATATCGATACTTAAATTAATACTTAAATATTCAATGTTTAAAAAATTAAAGAGATTATTTAGTGAAGAATTGTTTTAACACTTTGCTTATTAAAAAATTGAAAATGAAAAGTATGATTCGTTTTGAAAATCTATATAATATATAATTCAAATAAAATAATTAAAATAAAAGTGTTTAGATTTTTCTTTGAGTTGTTCTTATAATATTTAATTATGTTTAATTATGTTTTACATTTTAAATATATTATACATATATTACATACATTTATTAAATCTAATGTATATTAACTCTCTCAGTAATATACACATGATTTCATCCTGTAGCACATATAATTGGGTCGTTCATGACCTACATTAATTTTCATCATTTTAATATACATTAATTATTAAATGACTCTATATACTTTATTAATTATTAAGTGACTCTATATACTTTAACATCTTTAAAAAATATTTGAAAAAGTGTGTATTTTAAAAAATTGTATATATTGAAACTCATTTAGTTGAATCAATTAATTTCTTATTTGGACAAACAAATCCTTGGTTGATGCAATAAAATAATTTAATTGAATTAAATTAAACCATTTATTATAACATTTTACTTGTTCCTGATAAATAACTTTATCAGATATTAATGTTTATTAAAAACAAGTAAAATATTACAAATAGTTTAGTTCAATTAAATTGTTTTATCAATATTCAAACAAGAAATTAATTGATTTAACTAAATGAGTTTCTCAATGTATGAGATCCGTCCCAAAAGTATCCGACAACTGTGGCATATGGCTTTGTTCTTGAGCAACCTGTTTCTCCCTTTCTATTGTCCGGATTTGAAAATAAAGGAACTAAAATCAATTTGCATATTTCTATTGCAGGTGAACATCCGGCGGCTATGCAGCATGGTGGAAGCTGCGGCATGGCTCCGACCATTCTACTCGCCAGCATCACTCTCATAATTGCAAACCTGTTAAGGTGAGCAGCCGCGTCGTGAATCGCGCATCTTAAAAACAAAAAGAAAGAAAGTGAAACATGTCAAAAGTCAGGAGAAACAATATCCAAAGTGAACGCAACAATCGACGGTCGCGGACGGTATACGTTCGGAAAAATCGTCCAGTCGACCGCGATAGATCACTTTAGTTTACGCTTCGCTGTCACACGCTGCGTGTATTCGTTCGTCGAGTGCTCGGAAGCCACGACAAGAGAATCACAGTATGGACCGAAGTGCAGTGGACCAAAGCTCTGTGAAGGACGCAGTGATGTGGCGGACGATCTTTAGCACGTACGTTTTTAACACGAAAATCTTTCACAGATTCTCCATTCTTTTGTATAAAATCGTGTTAAATGCATCGTGGCAAAAATGCCGAATCATTCTCAACATCCCTAGTAGTATATTGAGTGTTCGCCAAAAGAACTTTCTTGCACTTGTGCTTTTTGTATAACTAAATCGGCATGTTGTCCGTGCCTCAACGAATATGCGTGGACTGTCTAATGACAAAACTGCTCATCTCGTCATTTCGTTGCGAGAACTCTATTAGAATTTGTATTTTAACTAATTTAATAATGGCCTCGTAGTATTCTACGTCGACCGATAGAACGACGCCGTCGTAACGACGTTATTTGGAAAGATCGGATTGATTGCATGATCTGTTATAACTGCCAATGCTTTCGAATCGAGTATCGATGGCTGGATCCGTTCGATGGCTATGAAATAATTATTACACGAATCGGAATTTATAATCTAACAATTATTATCAACTAGTTGAGAATAATTATCACATAATTAAGGCTCTTGTACATAAAACGAGTAATGAGCAGGTAGAATTTGCCGTGACCTTGTACAGTACAATGCACGTGCGAGAATTGCCACGTGACTGATAATTGTTTCTCGTCCTTCGATCTGGGCAGTATTGTGTATATAGCTTATATCATTGGTTATGATATAATTGTATGGTATATATACAATCGTATATTTGCAAATATTCTAACTAAACCTTGTGCCTCGGGCACAATTCAGTATCTCGAACGTGCCAGATATTTTATATATTTCTTGAGTTATATACGCTATAATAATAACTTTGCCCAGATTTGATTTACTTCAGTTTCTGTTAAACATATAATATATGTTAATTAATAAGATTGCATTAATAAGGGAATCGATTGCTAAAGCGAGAATAATGCGGTGATTGTTTCTCAAAAGACTGTGAAAATATCAATATCTTTATTGCAAAAATTTTTTGCATCAAATTATAAATAAAATCTAAATTTTATGTTATCAACATTATTATGTTAATATTATGATAATCTATTGTTTACAAAATCAAAATTGTTTAAAATCGCAATCTTTTAATATATGACAGAATTGTTTAAAGAGTTGAAAATGTATATTAAAAAATTTTTTGTTTATGACATTAAAGTAAAATTTTAATCGAGTACTGTTATATAAGTGTAAAGAATTTCTTGAATTTATGTTCCGAATAGATATTTAATAAACTTGTAAAAGCCTATTTTTTTTTAGACAAGCATTTGAAATACAAAAATATAATTTTTAGGAAAGAATTTTTAACTTATATACAGGAAAAGGTTGATATTGTATGGAAACGAAATTAATGTCTACATAAAACATTACGTTTCAAAACAATTAATTTTAATATTTTATGTAAGTAATCGAGTAATTAGAAGGCACGAATAAACATTATGAACAAATTAACTTTTACTTTTCACAAAAAAAATTCTTTTTTAATTCTATATGTTAAAAGTTACGATCCATTTAATGCTACAAAGCATTTTTTGATTAATCAGTAAAATCCTTTCTTCCAATTGGTCAATCAAAAGTTTCGCAGCATTTGTAGCATCCAGTGGATCGCACACAAAATATAATTGTTTTCAATATCAAGAAAGAGTATTTATAATATACGAAGTTACATCAAAGAATGAAAAGGCAACCAGAAATAATCACTTTAGTATAATAATAGTAGATAGGCGGCCTCGATATGTTTCTGTTTGTTTATTGTAAACAGGATTTTTTGAACTAAATAATTCGTTATATCAACATATATGTGTCTTTATCGTTCGATAATCAAAATGCAATTTGTCGAAAGTAATATTCCTTTTCCAACTTCTATGTCACTTTATTTCCAATTTATTTAAATTTTCTATGAGAATATCAAAGTAATTTTTTTGAAAATCAAAATGCGTCAAAATTAATTCACCAATTAATCAAAATATAATCAAGTGGACATCAACGATTATGGATAACGGATGTTATATTAAAATGTATTATAAAGCTCGTGTATAGATAAGTGAATATATGAAAAGATAATACGTAAATATATTTAAATAGGTCAATAATAAGCGTTCCCATGCGTTATGTATCATGATAATAGTGCGGAAAGTATAATTCAAAAGATCAAAATGTAATTATAAATAAAATAAAGGTTCCTTTGCAGAACTATAATTAAAAGTCGCCTTTTACTGCAATAAATCACTTAACTTTCTATAAAATGTTGATAAATTATTTATTATCACGATTATTTATTATTAAAGAATTATTTAATTATTTATTGAATTATTTAATTATTTATTGGTTGCGATTTGATATTATAAATATTTCGAAGCGTAAATTTCTATTTCCTGATTGGTCAAATCGAACGCTTCAAAATATTCGTGGACCGCAGCCTATATTATAAAATTTTTTAGATTATATGTGTCTTATACGATATTTAGTTTTACACTTTTTTAAATAGAAAGTTAATACAATTTTAAAATAAAAAACAGAAATAAGATTTTTTGGGGAAAATAATAGATAACTTATTTAATTTTAGACATGAGTTAAATAATTCTGTACATAACAGACATGATTTTATTGTTAAAATTTTATTTGTCCATTATTATTAAATTGTAAAGCGATCTTCCGCTTTTTTAATATCAGATTCGATATTTCCATCAGATTCTACGAAAGATAAATACTTAAATTATTTGCCTTTCTATATTTGATTAAATTGATTCAATCGTGATTATCTAACTAAGACAGCTCAATATTTTTAAATGATTTTTCTGATTAATTTCTTTCAAGTCGTTTTTTTCAAAAAAAAAAAAAATATCAGAAAAAAACGAAATCCTAGATGATCATTGAATAATTCAACGCACGTAATATAGAATATAGCAGTAAATCATTAGGTAATAGATTTATTACGTAATATAATATAATACGAATAAAGAAATATATCATAATGATTAAAATGTTAAGATACGATTTATCTTAGAACCTTAGATTTTTTATAACGTTATAGCTCGGAAAACATAAATTAGGATCTATTCGCTGTAGATCATGAAACATTTTTTGATTTTACTCAGAATCGAGGGGAAATATCGCAATGCTTTCAATTTGTATATAATTTTTTATGTTATGATTTATATTATAAGTAAATCGAGTCATATATATTCCAGACGAAAATTGCGACTTATATAATAGAGAGAGAGAGAGAGAGAGAGAGAGAGAGAGAGAGAGAGAGGGGGGGGGGAGTGGAGAAAGGCTAGCATAATTACATAAAACGTGATCAAAGTTCAAAGCGAAAAAATTGTTTTAGATTGAAGAATCACTTTGATTGAGTTACTGGTGTGTGTTAAATCAATGTATTTAATCAATTTCAGTTTGATAGAAAAAAAAGTTTATATTCACAATGCTTCGCGTTTTGATGGTTTCCGATAGATTCCATCGTGATTTTTTTTTATAGCACGAACCGTAGCTCAATTATAAGATTTAAAAAATACATTCCTGTGCATATAACGTAAATCAAACAGAAAAATATCGAGACGATTATTTCTATTTGTAAACTAGATAATCAATATCCGCGATTTGCATACTTACGGAATGTTGCACATTACATTAGGTAAGAGACTAGACTGCATTGTACATAAAATTCATAATCGATTATGTATCATGTTATGAGAGATCTTAAGCATGAATCAAAAAGACAGGATTAAAAGCGAAAAAGCGACATAGAATACTATATTGTAAAAATATTCATCGACGTGAATACTGTTTCAATAAATGTAATGATGATATAAAAAACACATAGACTTCTATTTCGCTCTTCCTGTTCGACAATTTTTCAAACGAGCGCGTACCTATTTTTTTTACTATAAATAAGACTTATATGTATCATATTATAAAATCTTAATTTGATATTTCCATTCTGTTAATAGTCAATATTTTTAAAGTTGAAAAATTAATATTTAATTTTTTTATTAATTAGGAGGAAGATCAAATTTGAAAATTAATTTAAATTTTTATCCTAATGGAAGTATTTTTTTAAATTTTATATATTTTTTTTAGTCAAATAACTTTCTGAACTGTGTGGATATGATATATTCTGTATTTAATTCAATCTTTATCGTTTTTATATCTGGGTTAATATACATTGATCAAAATTCTGTGCACAGCATTTTTACATATAATATACATAGAAATGTTTATATTTCAGTTTTTAATGAATACACACCGCCTTTTTAATTAAGTACAAAAACGGTTGATTTTAATTGGTACGCGGTTCATATACCGATTTTTCTGTTACACATGCTGTACATTGCATGTATTTTATGCGTGGAAAATATTACGAGTAGACGATAAAAACGATATTCGTATATGTGCGTACTATTAACGTATAGAAAGAATCTTTTATTTATCATACATGGCTGCTTCGAAACGCGTTATAAAATTAACGAAATTGCGGAGACATTCATAACGAAGCCATCACTCGCCCTTAATTTCTTTAATGGCACTAATAGACTAATTGCACGAAGCAAATTGCAATTTTAATGGAATATCACGAAATAAATTCAGGGAAATTAAAATGAAACGGCAAGCACTGTATTGCATTGAAATATATTTAAGCATTAATTTGCTGCGTATAACTTCATGTAGCAATTTATACGAAAGAGTTATATTAAACATTTTGTTTAGAAAATAAATTAAAGGGATGCTCTCTCTTTTT